TGTTAGAAGCAATGAGAGGTGTTTAGGTCCCTGCTGGATTTGGCCCAATATGTCAACAGCAACAAAAGCAATTTTTTAGTTACGTTTAGTGCATTGTATGGAACATCTGTGGCTGCAAACATATATTCCCATGCAGAACAAATGCACTCTCATACACATATGCATCGAAACCTCCCTTTTATTTGGAATTATGGGGTCTGTCCAGGTCATCACTCACAGCCTATAATACCTGAGGCAAAATAAGCAGGTCCAGTCTGCAGCCTAGAAAATTCCAATAAAATTCAATCAATAAGATCTGTAGAAACACTCTTGAGTGGGTCTCAGACAGATCAGCCATATGAGGGCATGTTTTACTGCAGGGTCTACACTGAGATATTCTACCTCCTAGTTCATTTCTCTTTTTGCATCTATGATAGCTAAAAGGAAATCAAATTTCCGGTGATAAATATTGTGGCAAATGTAATTTGAGGCTTGGAGGGTTCTTTGTTCAGGGAAATTACCAGCACTTGTAGGACTCCGAATGAAGTCATCTTAAGGTGCATCTTCAAGCGAGACAGACCAGTGGCCAGGCAAGAAAGAGAACACAAGAGAAAAAAAGATGTTAAAAAACTTCAATTTCACAGGCCTTTCAAATAGACAATTCACACACAGAAAGTCATAACTATGTTCCTGCCAGAACTGCCAATTTTGATAACAAATGTTCAGACAATCTGCAGCTTTCCACATCTCGCCTGATGTTCTGGGTATGCTGCAGTTTCTAAGTAACAAGGTCCAGAAACCAATCTCACCATACATATATGTGCAAGATGCTTCTGGCTTTGAGATTTGAACTCTCTACCTATTTGGGCAAGTTAAAACAAAGCCGTCTCTTTCTGAGAGTTGATTAGAGTTTTGCAGCTGAGGAAAAGAGGTATTTTCATTTGGCCTAGAAAGAGGCAGACTCAGACAGCCACACTTGGACACCTGACTTTGTACATGCACTGAAGTCTGGTTTGAATGGCCACAGTGCAATCTAAGGGATTACTGTTTTAGACACAGCCTGGAGCCACTTACATTGCTTTTGAGTGATAACTAAGGAGATTGTGGGAGACAAGGCTACAAAGGAGGGAGAAGATCATGTCACTCAAAGACATTTTAATAAGGCTTTGAACACATATAAATAAAGAAAATCTCAATTGTTTGTCCAAGGCCCTCTGGCATTATTGTTATTATTTATCAGTTCTCCAAAGGGGTGTCAGTGCCACCCAGACAGAAATTAAGACCAGTTTGTGCCCTTAAGGGTTAATGCACTGAAAGCCTAATTGGCTACTTATTTATTTCTGTTGCAAAATTCATGTTGATTTCAGCGGGAGCTGCTGCAAGCTTTAAGTACTGTATATAAGAGCAGTCAGAGGAAAGGGGTGAGTATCAGAGCTGGGGGGTAGCATTTTCCTGGGTTTCACAGGGGGGAAAAAAATGATTCTTTAAAAAAAAAAATCAATGGAAAAAATGAAGCTTCAGGCTTTTTTACTGAAAAATATATTAAAAGTATTTTTAGAAAGTCATTTGGACTAGATTTCATAGACATTAGGCCTGGAGGAGTCCTTATAAGACCTCATAAGATCAGATGTTCCAAATGAAAAATTTTCACCAGCTCTCTAAAAAAAAAAAAATAAGGAAACTGAGTACCATGAAGTTTGATGGTCCCCCACTTCCCATCTTTCCCCCCTCTCAAGCCTTTAACTATTGGAGTCCATTTCTAAGGAGATGGGATAGATTCTCCATCATTTGAAGTCTTGAAATCAAGGCTCTATATCCCTTAAAAAGCAGTGCTGCTGTTCAGCCAAAATGTTATAGTCTTGATGCAGAAATTATGGAGTTGATAGTATACAGCCTGTGATATTCAGGAGGATCAGACCGGATGATCAAGAGTCCTCTCTTACCTTTGACAGCTGTCAGAAGTAGTAATGGATTCAATGCTATCTAATTCCCTTCCATCATGCATATACATAGAGGTCCCACTGTGCACACAGGTGCCTTGAATAATATATTTATAAACTTTGGAAAATGTTAATAGAAGAGTGTGGGTGTAGGGCATATTTTTCAGGGTATGGTCACATAAACCAATAACCACTAGGAAAACTAGAGTGTGAAATGTAGTGTTAGCTACTCCAGACCCATTTCTAGTGTGTACATTCTTACCCTGGGGAAAATGCAAAATGTCTTGCCACATACAATGGCTGAGGGGCAAGTGCATATACAGGACCAGTTACTGCAAAGTAGCTGACGATCATAAATTCATAGCCGCATTGACCTCGTGCAGTTTTGCTCATGTGTCCATACTCTAAGTTTCTCTTTCTGGTGGGGCCTTTTATCTGACATCTCTGCCCTGCTTTCATAAGCCTTTTATGTACCAAAAAATATAAACTCCATATAAGAAAGTATGTGCTTATAACCAGATTAATCCCATGTGACATTCAATTAGTTCAGTAGGCCTACGCCATTGAATGGCTTCAGGCTGCAACATCATGCAAATTAAACAAATGAGGAGTGAATTAGTGAAGTTACACTACCCATCAGATAGAGCGGGTTTCATTCCAAGTAAAGGTTCTGATTAACCTGGGCCATTTCCTTCCGAATTTAAAACCAGTCCCGAAAGTAATCTTGCCTTCACACACAGTATCCCACGTGGGCAGGTCAGTGTATCAACCCTTGCTGGCCTGGTTGATTTAATAATCTGGCTTGGTCTCTGGTCTTTTGTCCTCTCTGCTCTTTCATTCACGTTCCCCTGTGAAGTTATAATGCAAGGCTTGTTGTTGGCTTCTAACCTGCCAATTCACTGTGTCCAGAGCCTCTGAAGCAATGCTGCGATTCTGCAGATGATGATTTGCTGGGATGGGATTTGCATTTCCCCCTTTTCAGTGACAAGATTAGCAGCTGTTATTAACAGTGCAGCTAAATTCCTGAACCTATCACACAGCTGCAGTTGCAATTACTTTTCAGGCTGTAGGCACTCAGAGCAAAAAGGAAAAAAAACAAACCCCTATAATGATTTTCTGAAGAGGTGACAGTGGCATCCTGATTGACAGCAAAGCATAGCTCTGGGGTGTGTTAATTAAAGCAGTGTGATAAGAATCACTTTCATTACCTACCTTTCTCCTCCGTACAGAACCGTGAGCCCTGAACTGAAATCCTATGCTTTGGGGGTGCTCTTCCTGCTTCTCCGTCTGCTAGGTAGGTGCAATCATTTCTTTTCCCTTCCCCTCTGTACTTAAAAGTGAACTGAATGTTTATTTGCCCATCAAGGGGTAAGTATTTACCAGCTCCCTCCATGCAACCCTTTTGGAGGCTGAAACCCTGTCAGAGGCTGTCACTCAGTGGAACTGGAGACCCGAGTCCTTTCTCAGACATGTTCCTTCGATACAGAAGGTCCTCCAAGGGGAATGGCACCTGCCTTCCCTGCCACTTTGATTGTGCTAATGGAGGAAATCACAGCACTGAGTGAGAAACAACCCCTCACCCCCCACAACCAGTTCCTTCTCTGTAGTTGTTATTAACATGTCAGCCGCTTGTGAAATTACTCCTTTATTGTACTGCCGAACCACAGGGGATAAATGCTTTCATGATAATTTGAGGAGAGGAGCTTTGTAGCACATTGTGCAGCAGCCCTGTCTTTGGACTCTGAGGGAGGAAAACAGAAGGGGGCTAAAAACCCCAGCTGAACCTCTATGCTGTCTCCTGGCTTAATCTTCCATTAAAATACATTTGGCCAAACACTGGATCAGTGCATGTTTCGTTGTGGCTGAATGAAAGGGAAAATGTTATGCCTCTGCCTGCAAATTTTCCCTCCCACACATGTTGAAAGGGATGACTGTTGGGGAGAGGTCATAAAGGCAAGGCTTGAATTTCTCAAAGCCTTGCCTTGGACTGCATTAGATGACTTTGTCCAGTCCATCACGTATGGACCTGTCTTACTCATGTTTTGCACTTATTCTGCGTGTGAAATTTCTGCTCAGCTCAGTCGGCCAGACTGCACCCCAGACACGAAGGCCCAAAGGACGACCCGCTGAGTAAGTTACAGTCCAGCTGGTCTGTATGTGAAAACCTGGGTAGAGGCATCAGAACCAGACCCAGTGGCTGCATCTACATGAGACGCTGGCTGCTCAGTAGCTCATTTTTACTGTGCAGTAGCATCACGTGGCATGAAGCATGATGAGTGACAAGCTACTGCAGTCAGTGTCACCAAAAAGCCATGCAGGGATGCTAGTACTATGCAGTAATGCCGGTTACTGCGCAGTCAGCGTCTCGTCCAGACACAGCCAGTTTGAGTTGCACAAAGGGAACGTGCCATGGAGTTTAACGTGTGTGCATCCTAACCAGTTTGGTTGTGGGAGGAAGAAGATTGTACTCCATGTGATGTCAGGTGGAAACCCCTCAGTTCTTACATGGCATCCCAGGATTTGGCCACTTGTTTCTCCCCTGTTAGCTAATGATTTGCTTGCTTGGTCCATTGGCCTTCTCCAGGGCTGCCTGTTTTCTTTCATAGGGAGGGGTGAAGAATCCCACAGTCTGATATGCCACCTTGGATAAGAAAAGGAATCACATTTTCCTCCCCAGCTAGTGAGACTTCTGACCACGGGAACCCAGCCTAACTTCTGTTGAAGTCCCTGGGAATCTTTCATTACTGGTGAAAGGCCTGAAATATGCTGTCTTATCAAAAGCACAACACCTTCCTCCATGATCAGGGAAGCAGAGGACATGCCACAAGCTCTAGACATCTCATCTAAATGCCTGGGGAGTCAGTAGGAGTCTCCCAGTTGACCCGCACGGGCTTTGCTCAGTCCCTTTAAGCACAGTATTTCCTTTGGCTGGTTCATGTCATGCCCTCGGCTCTCACAAGTTGAATTCAGAATTCTAACTCAGGGCGTAGCAGGTAAGCCAGGGAAGAAGACGCTTTTTGATTGTACTTTCCTAACATCAAGGTGTTTGCAGTTTTTGCTACCAACTTTGTATTATTTAAGATACACAATGGGTTTTGGGCTGCTTCCATATATTATTCCATCAGGGCTAGGATCTGCCACCCATACTCACCTTGAACAATGGCTTACTCTACCAGCAGTCCCATGGGCACAGCAGCAGTGATTTTACAGTGAGACATCAGTACGCCACTCTATCCCAGCAGATTTCCTATGAAGTAAGATGATACATTCTGGAGGATATCAACACTTGTAGACACTGTGCATGGATAATGAAGAGAAAGGTACTGCTCAAATCTCACTGTGAATAAGGGTATCCAAATCTTGCCCTGAACAATTTTAGGTTTGAGACTAGCTTGACTGATTTATTTTAAAAGCTTTTCAGTTCACCTTTAAGCTTAGACTTAAGAAGGGAGTGATAATAGCTGTTTCTTGAACCAAAGAGAGTATTAAATATCTGAGGAATGAGATCCGGAGTTAATAGATTTCAGAGGCAGCTAGCTTCTTTAAACAGCCCTGCAGTTTCTGCACTGAAACGTGTGTGTGTGTGTGTGTGTGTGTGTGTGTGTCTATACACACACACACATACACACAGAGCAGCACTCTCTGCAAAACTTTTGCAATAAGAAGTAAAGCATGATTGAATCTCTTTAATAGTCACTGTAATAATATGAAACACAGCTGAATTCTCCTGGTATCCTCTTGGATGTATTATCTTATTCCATAGGAATTCTTCTGTGAGAGAGCAGCATATTAACGTTGCGGTATAAAAGTGTTACTGCAGTCTCTTAGAAGAGCATCTAAAGCGATGCCATTGGAGCCCCAAGGGTATTGAAAAGCAG